TTCTAGGTGAATTTTTTTACTTTCTTTTTTTTTATGATCTATAATTTTTTAACTTAGATCTTCCATTGGAGTTGTTTGAGAGAGATTTATGGTAGGATATGTAAAGAGATTGTGAAAGTAGTTAAAAGAAAGAATCAAAAAAGGAAAACAAAAAAGATAAAAAAAAGGAAAAGATAGAAAAAAAACCCAGTTCCAAGCTGTTCATTTGGCTTCTGGTCAAACCCGATTTTTTATTAGATTTGACTGAATTTTTGTTTGATGATTTTTTAAGACATGAAGGATTGAATGCCTACCCGATTCTCGATTCAATCGATTGAACCAATCAGTCCGATCCAAGTTTCAAAACACAAGTTGTTGACTCAAAAAAAAGGACTAGTACTAGTAGTATACTTTTTTTTTAATTCATAGTGGTCCTTTTTTTTTTCTTTTTTTTAGGTAATTGATATTGTCCTTTATTTCCTTCTTATTGTTACCCTTTTCTCCAAGTAGAAGTAAAGTAGATGTTGCCATTTGACCAAAAAAAAAAAACTATTTGGTTGTTGATTTTCTTTCCTTATTTGCCCAGTGAGTGCCAATCACAATCAATGAAGGTGAGTACGAATGAATTTATGATGTTACTATACTATCTATATATAAGAAACCTTCAGGAACCCCACTTCTCCACAGCCCTCTTTTCATCAATTGAAGATAACTGCCTTTTGACAGAAATTTCTTCTATAACTTCTTGCTTTTTTCTCCATTAGCTTTCATTAGACAATTATGTCAGAAACAATGGAAAAAGTTGAACGAGACATCCCAGAAATAGTAGTGTTAAACTCAGGCCACAAAATGCCAGTGGTGGGCTTAGGATGTGCCGCACATCTTTTGCCACCATTCGACCAATTAGTATCAACTTTTAACGGTGCAATGGAAATTGGGTACAGGCAGTTTGATACAGCAGCTTGTTATGGCACCGAGGAAGCTTTTGGCAAAGCTGTGGCTAAAGCATTGGAGATTGGATTAATTAAGAGCAGGGATGAATTGTTGTCACTTGTAAATGTTATTGATGCTGATCGTTTCGCACAATTCTCCATGATATCAACTGCCATTGATTCTTATTTACTTGTCTCGAAGCTAAAACATGGTAGCAATTTATTCGCAATTGATTTCCAGGCTCGAAGCAAAACAAATGGAAGTAGGAGACTAGTAGTATACGTTTGCTAGTGGTCCTTCATTAATTCCCCCTCGTTCTTGGACTTTTCCAAAATGTCAAAAGTATCATTTGCCAATTTCGTGGTGGTTGGATTTCTTTCTTTCTTTGCCCGATGGGTGCCAATCACAATTTATCAAGATAAGTATGAATCAACAATTCATGACATGTATGCTATCGATGATGTACGAGAGACCTTTTATTAACACCAATCACTAGTCCGCAGCAACCCCACTTTCGAACACTACTTTTTCATCAAGTGGAGATGAGATAAGATAATTGACTAGGTAGAAACTTCTTGTATAAACTTCTTGCATCTTTCTCCATTGATTTCCATTGGTAAAATCATGCCTGAGACAATGGAAAAAGTTGAACAAAAAATCCCTGAAATAGCAGTATTAAATTCGGGCCACAAAATGGCAGTGGCGGGCTTAGGATGTGCCGCACATCCTTTGCCACCATTAGAGCAATTAGTAACAACTTTTATTGATGCAATGGAGATTGGATACAGGCATTTCGATACAGCAGCATGCTATGGCACAGAGGAGGCCCTTGGTAGAGCTGTGGCTAAAGCACTAGAGATTGGATTAATTAAGAGCAGGGATGAATTGTTCATCACTTCTAAACTTTGGTGTACTGATGCTGATCATGACCTTGTTCTGCCTGCCCTCAAACAAACTCTTGGGTACTTTCCTCATTTATTACAATTTGAACGTTCATCTTTCTTCATTTTTTGGTTAAATTTGATACTTCCTAAATAGGTATACTCATGCATAGATGTGTGCGTGCATATAAATATTTTACATGTTCTTTATTATATATTGGCCATGACCCTTGGCTTGTCCTGCCTGATTAATTCCTTGCATCAGTCCAGATTTTCCTATGTATATCTATCTTGCTGTCCCATCATTTTTCCCCCTTCTGTTTCTCCCCAAATTGGGATACTATTATCGGTCAACAACTACTACAGCAACCCGTCTTTGATATAGATGTCATCACCTCTACAAATAATACGTTGTGTAGTAGGTTAGGATAAAAGCCAAGTAATTTTTCAAGTCAAACATACTAATTAATTATGGAATTTTGTGGTGAAGTGAATAGGATGGATCAGTCTCAACCAACCATATTTGTTACTTGACTGCAAACGAGGATGCACATTGCACCACTATTATTTGCTACTCGGCATTAATGAAATCTCTCAACAGGTAGATGGCACTATCCGTAATGGGGTCTCTCCAGCAATGTTCGGTCTAATTGATGTAATTTTTAAGACAATTAGTGTAAACTCGTGCAGTTTTAATGTAATAGTACTCCATCCATTCCACTTTGATAATCTTATTTTTATTTTTACACAATTTAAGAAAAATTAGTTAACTTTATTAGAAAAATAAATCTAACATACTATTTTCCTAAAATATGCTTACATTAAATTTTCCTCTGTATGTGTGTGTGAATGTATATCTTGTAACCTTATACATACTTTTGAGGACATGATATGATAACTGTTGCACATCATAAATCACAAGCTGTATCAATTTAGTAATTTTTTTTTATATAAGTTTTGCAATATTGAAGAAACTGGTGCATGTCTATTAAAGTGGTGACAAATACTTAAGTTGTCACAAAAACTCACAAATCATGTATTGTGAGTTGAAACTAAAATTATTGCATCCCCTAAACAAAGGTCCTGACTTCGCCATTGGACAGTACCATGGAATAAGCTTGTTTCTTCAATTTTTTTTCCTTGATATCATTATTGTTTCTTCAATTTGTTCACTGAGAATTTGTTTTTCTAATACATTATTGATTCACTCTAGTTTGGAATAACTCTACTTCGGTAGGAAGTTGGGGCTGGAGTATTTGGATCTTTATTTGGTTCACTGGCCAGTAAGGGTAAAGCACGGTGCTGAGAAGTTCAATTTCGCCAAAGATGAAATTCTCCCTTTTGATATCCATGGAACGTGGCAGGCCATGGAAGGATGCACCAAATTAGGTTTGACAAAGTCCATCGGTCTGAGCAACTTCACTTGTGAGAAAATCTGTAAACTCCTAGAAATTGCTACCATCCCTCCAGCAGTTAATCAGGTAACATTTCTTTCTTTTATTGAAAAAAAAAAAAGAAAGAATTTTCGTAGTTTTGAGAGTCTGAACTCGAAATTTTCGTAGTTTACCAGCTAAATTGAGTATTGGAAACAATTCAGTGATTTGATAGTGGTCGTAGTATCAAGCCTAGAACTTCTCTTCTTTTTTTTTTTTACTTTCTTTTAAAACCCTCTTGAATATTATGTTTCATAGCTAAAAAAGGTAATTGAACCCACCCTGTGCTCTAATGTCTTTGTTTCTTTTTCATTTTAGAAAATCTTTATAATATGTTCTACCAAAAAAGGATAGCTTTGCAATAACTTCTTAAATTTTTTTTTTGACACGATAAATTATACGCTTACTGTATTCCCAAGCTATACTAAAAGACACGATAGATTCTACAACTGCTCCTACTCCTCGACTATACTAAGGGACACAAAATCAGAACACCTCTACTTTCACCAAGTAACCCGACTAGATTATATAGAAGGTTAGAGGAAACGGTTCATCTCATCTACATCAGAGGGGTGCGTTGCTATACCTTCAGAATTTTTTTAATTACACGGTAGGAGAATTGAACCCCAACCTATAACCAATAAGGGCATTTTACATAAATATAAAGGGTTGATCAGCTACTATATTGGAATGGATATGGCTGATAGAATGAGATTAAAAGTTTTTCAGGTGGAGATGAATGTTGGTTGGCAGCAGAGAAAATTGGTGCCATTTGCAAAAGACAGAGGGATTCGTATATGTGCCTGGTCTCCTCTTGCATCTTATGGTGGTCTTTGGGGCAACAATGCAGTCATGGAGAATCCAGTGCTCAAGGATATTGCTGCCTCAAAAAGCAAGTCCGTGGCACAGGTCCCCAATTCTCATCACATTTACTAAAAATGAAATTTTTAGAGGTGAATATAAAGAACATTAAAATGTCTATAGATATATATAGGATTTGTCTTTTCATTTCTCAGATTTACACACAATACATGATTCACTAGCACGGACATTTATCCAATCATGTTAATGCTGTAAACAGGTTGCTTTGCGATGGATATATCAGCAAGGAGCAAGCTTTGTTGCGAAGAGCTTCAACAAGGAAAGGATGAAACAAAACCTCCAAATATTTGATTGGGAACTCACCAAGGAAGAAATGGATCAAATTCTGCAGATTCCTCAGCGGAGAGGCTTTGCTGGGGAAGTGTTTGTTCATCCAACCGGGCCATACAAATCGGTCGAGGAACTTTGGGATGGCGACACCTGAATTTATCCTTGTTTGTAAAATAAATCAAGATTAGAAGTATTTATTTATTTACTCACTAGTTTTATTGGAGTCAAGTTTTTAGTAGTTGTGTTATTTAATTTAGAAGTACGTATTTTGTTTGGTGATTGTTGATGCAAGTCTGGTAGGTTATAAACAGGATGTCATGGTTTCTGAGAGATTCCAACAAGATGATATCTAGTTGATTGGTAACTTCTACAGCAAATCTTACAACATATGATTCTCATCTAACCTAAACCAGGCAGAGACAAACCTATACCTCATCGCGTGGCACAATTCAATTATAGCAACTAGAGAAGGCAAGATGCGGCTATAAAACATAAATTTTGCTGATCAAGTAAGGATGTACAAGTCCTAAACTCCCAGCTTTGCTTAGTTTTCAACATCTTGCAGAGGGTACTGCTACAGAAAGTAATGACACAGAATATGATTGCTCTCGGAAAGTACATCTACAGAAGACAACATACATTAATCAAGGAGGAAAAAAGAAGCAAAAGACAACTATCCTCGAAATTTTGGGACAAAGGAAGTAACAGAACTTGGAATAATATCTTGCAGAAGTACTCATATTAGGCAAAGTGTGTGCCTTAACTAAGATAATGCAGTCAAAGCAGTCCTGCAGTCGAATAAGACATATACAACCAGCTTCTCCTATAAAAAATTTCTGAAGAACGAAACTAGAGCTGTCTATGTGTACTATATACAATAGCCAGATTAAATAGTGGAACCACCTTCCCAGTTGCAACATGCGGATAACTTTTCAGCAAATACCTTGGTGGAATCCAACGTGAAGCAAAACAAGATGTCAGTTCTGACAAGACGTGCTGTACAATTTTCACAGGCCGCTCTCAGTTAATATCATGTGGATACCTATTTGGTGTGGAGGATGCGAATCTGAAGCCAATCATTGAAAAAAGGACATATCAAAAAAGCAGATCAAATGCATGTAAAACCTTATTCGATAAACCTTCCATTGGGTCTTAAACCACAATCTCAAAATAAAAGACACTTGAAGACTAACTTCCAGTTTGACACAACATGTCAAAATCAAAGTTCCTTTTATCCTAAAAATTAAATCAAAATATAATTCTCTGTAAAGTCTTAATTCAACAAAATAATGCAAGAAGAACTCAATCTAAGTACATTAACTACAACTTTCAATTGTATTAAATTTGTGGGAATGCAGGAAAGATAAACACATGACTTGTAGAGATTCAAGGTTAGGTAATATTGACTCAAGAAAACAGCTTACTGATGATTATTCCCATGCTTCTAATTTGAACCATCATGTACAATGAATCTAAATGACTTAGGATATGCAGGCATGGCCACAGAATACCTGTGCTAATGCATAGATGGCCCGCAGGATTCTAGCATAATCAGTTCCGAGCATTTGAATGACAACATCCGCGAGAAAAGTTCCCCAGAGCCTGCAGAAATCATAGTTTAAGCAGAAGTCAAGCACAATCTGCATGACAGATGCTAGAAACTGAGGACCAAAGATTTAAAAGCTAACTATTTTGAAAAATTTTCTAAACTTCAACTTCACACCCTCTCATATCTCTTGTTAAATCATTTTTTTCATTTGTTTCGGCTTTCAACTACCCCTTTCAACCTTATGATTTCTCTAAACACAGCTAAAAATTTCTCGTTACTTGGTCTGCTCCCTTATTTTTCTGGTAGTAGCTGTTTCCTGATTCTGCTGGACTTACTCGTCATGACTGTAAATAGTTTCTATATTGCGCAGCCTACATCATAAACAAGGACAAGAAAAAACCCACATAATACAATAATCATCCTCAAAACATGCACGTCTCAAAGGAAGCCTAAATTAGTTAACAAGATGCAATTAGTCATTCGCTAATTACATAAGAGGAAATAATTCTACCTGATTACAAATGTAACTTCCTGTAAAACAGAGTAACATAATTCTTTGCACCTTTTGAGATGCTTTGGCAGCCTTACTGTGAGAAGAACATTCTGTGAGAAGAACATTCCTCTCATTTGGTTTGTTGTTTTGTATCCACAAGAAACACTCAGATGTTAACACTGGTATCATCAGTACAATAACTACCATTTGTCATCACATCATGAATCTTGTATTGTCTGTAGAAATTGTGAAGAAGAACATTACCCTCTCTCTCCATTTTTTTATCACTTTGAAGGCTATAAAATCAGACTGAAAGGTACTTTCTGGTGAAACTTGGCATATCAGAATTCTAATTATTTTAGCTATGCCTTAGTTTTCTTCTGGGGGCAAGATGTTTAGCAACACAATGGATACCCCACTATCACACGGTAAAATAAGCAATTTGAAAGAATAGCCTCAGGCCAGATGTTGAAGTTTGAAGGATTTGGATGCACGAAATCAATAATGCAAAAATGCAGACAAAATATGTTTGCAATCAACACAAAGGTAACAAATTCTCCCAGTTAAAAAGAGATATTACATTGGGCCCAAAAGTGTCATCATACTCCTAATCCCCAGATATCGGGAGGCTGCACCTGCTACACTCTGTCAACAATCACAAAGGGAAACTTTAGAATGAAAACATCATATTACTGGCATTCCTACAGTAGCCAAAATCACTTTCTGTAATTCAAACCTCAGATTACTGCATATGAGTTGAATTTACAAATGGAGATCATATGGTGCATCAAATTGTTAAAATTTATTGTGTTTATTTGTAGAGATAACAAATTCATACTCATCAGAGCTAAAAGACCGGAGCCTGCATATGCACTTACATCCGCAGACCATTTTCCGAGGGTTCCTACTTGCCAGAAGTAAGTAATTGAAGGATGCTTTTGTGTATGATGAGAGAGAGACAGACACAAGGGAACCATTTCATTCTATGTAATATTCGCAATATTCCAACAATCAGTACAGGTATTACTTGTCCAACCTAATGGTCTATCAACAATCTCTACAGGTATAAATTGTGTATGATCTGGCGATCCTACATCATTTCCAGATATACCACCCAAATGGTGCAGCTAGTTATCAGCCATTTGAAGCATTGTTTAATTAGTCAGAGAGTTGGTATGACACCTTTACCTGCTTTGCAGCATGCAAAGCCGCTCTGGATTCAAGATTGACAGCTGCCAAATTTGCCCCCTGGAAACCAACATTTTTCAGGAACCTTGGTCAGTTTAAGCCAGCAATCTTACAAAATGAGATCCATTCAATCATAATTGAAATGCTAAACAGCACAACTTCCTTTTCCTCAATTTTTTCCCAATTTTATCATAAGGATGATGTCACCCAAGTACACGAGGTAACTTTCATACATCTTGGCAAAGACTTCAGAACTATCAATCACCACTTATACATATAAAAGATGATGAGACAGCAAGCTGCAAAATATTAACAAAGGTACCCAGTTAGCAAACCAATTAGGCCACTTTTTTGCATGTCCTCAAGCTAGGTATACTGTCCCCAACACAAGAGTAAGCAACAAAAAAATGTGTCTAGCAATAGCGTATACTCTGGTAAGAATACCAAAATATTATAGGCCCTCTTTCTCAAGAGCTGAAAGATTATAGCAATCCAACCTTTGTCCTGACAAATCATAACACAATCACCAGGTAAAGGATAGCATCACATACATTTCTTTAGTTGGATAAAATGTCTCTTGTTAATCCAGCCATTAAACAGTTATTTCATAAACGTCAGTAACTCAATATTAGGTGGTCAATCAAGTATTTGTAGCCTACTACTCCAGTTGTTAACAGTTTGTGAAATTAAGTTGTGCCTTTATACTCCAAAAGAAAGTGACAGACTAAAATTTTGACTGCAGAAACAGTCATCAACAATTTAAGTAGTATGCAAATCTTTTTAGATCCCAATATCAACTTATGCAGCACAGGTAAAATATACTTGGTATGCTAACTTTTATGTGGAACAAAATATTGAGGAGCTTTTAGAGAATGAAACAGTTTTTGTTGTCTATTCCAGCACAAAATCTGAAGCTGTTCAATATCAGTAAAGCATAATACCTCTTTAATCAATTCATTCTTCAGCTGATACTTGGCAGCTTCCTGGAACATCTTTCCAGATAATCCCTTTGCTAGCTACAACAATGAGCTACCTCATGGTAACAAATGATAAAAAAATTTGCAGCAAACAACCTAGGACTAAATCTCACCAGCTCATACAATTTGCCCAGTGTGAGCACCCCGCCACCCTAATATTACAATCAAATTAAGAACTATACATGGAAAATGATCATTAAGAAAACCAAGTACAAATTAATGCAAGTAGCAAAAACCTTCAATATCATTGATCTGAGATCTGCAGCCCCATCCCTTAAAGCAGTAGCTGTTTGGACCTTCCACTGACTGAGTCCATGTTCTAAAGTACCATTGCCATCAGAATTTTTCACATTTTCCTGTGACCCATTTAAGCTGCCAGATGCTTGTCTATATAAAGCCACAAGTAAATCATTGGTATATGTCAGTAATTAAAAATGCTATAGTGATCTCTAGGATATGAAGAAAATTATGTGTTCATAGTTTTATTTAACTGCAGATGCGGAAAAACAAGAAAATCTGTTGTTTACAACTAGACAAGCATTATTAGACACTTATTGATTACTTGCAGGACTTCAATCTCATTAGATTATATAACATGTGCATAAGTCAAACACTTAAAGTCCCACCAGCAAGGCAATAAATTAATTTTCATCCAACTCTTAACCAAATGTGATTAATTTCTCAAAATCTTGTACCAGATTACATCTTGGGAATTTATGATAACATTGTGAACTAGATGTTGCTTTCTAGAGGAGAAGACTAGAGAGAGAAAAAGAGAATTTAGTTCTTGAGACGATTTTAATCACTAGATGCTTCAAAAGAAGAAAGGAAAAAAGAATTCCAGTTTGATCCACAGCTTTTGACACCGAGGAGAAAACGAAACTATGAATGCACGATGTCTGGAACATATTTTGTCAATAACTTCTTTATGATCGATAAAATTTCATCAGCCGGAGGCTCAGAAATTGACACAGAGATATGTTCTAATAGAAAAGGTTCATTTTTGTTTAGTCTTAGATATCAGTACAGGATTTCAGCTCCTATTCTTATAGTTTCAACCACAAAAATGTCCATGGCTGAATGGCTAAGGCATCATCTCATTACTAGTAAAATCATGGGTTCAGTTCAACTCCTAAATGAACTCTGATATCCACCGCTCTGAATTTTATCAGCCATAGACTCAACTGATGAGTTTTTACATATATCATGAATTATGAACATTAAGAACTATATAGGTATTGAGATTATATTGGGCTGAGAAGAAGCTTTAGAGTAATTAGGCCCAATAACTAGACCACTGTACTTTATGGGCTTAAATTTCATTGCCAGGATACAAGCATCTATCCATCAAAGTCTTCTGCAGAAAATCTAATAGCCAGCAATGTTGCGAACAGCCGGCACATTCCAAAACAAGAATTTACAAAGCAACGAAGAAGAAGAACAGAAGTCAGCAAAAAATTTCTTGCCACAAGTTCCATAGCAGACTTTGAGTGAAGTATGCTTGTTCAAATAATGTCCCATCAGCTGAGAACTATATTATCTGCTCAGAAAGTTGATTCAAAACTGCAAGCATAAAAGAACTGCACCACATTATATACCCTGAATAGTCTTGCAGCATGTGAAGAAAAATCTCTGCTTCTAGATCCTCGGTAGCCAATTTAGATGAACAAGGTATATTTAACTTTTTCCTCACTCCAAGAAGTACGTTCCTATAGGAAGGCCTCCAACCCCTACAGCAGCACAAGCCAATTCGAGTCACTCAAAGGAGCTCAACATGACATCCAGTAAACCTCTTGGGGAGAAAAAAAAAGGAAAAAAGAAGAAAAGAAGAAAACAGAATTTGATCAGCAATGATTACAGGCTTCATTACCAAAGAAGCACGAGTTCACCAAAAAATTATGCCAGACTACAGTACATACTCCACCAAAGAACACTGAATAAACCTATAGGTATCAAGCATTCAATATTAAGCAACAGCAAACGGTTGAATTCACTTGGTTGCATTACAAAATTTTGGCCTCACAATACCAAATGAAAATAAGCATTCACTGAACATTGCCTAAAAACAAAAATACACGTGCAAATTTCATTCTTCTATTCATTTAAACAGCATAGTCCAACATGAGAGAGGGAGGGAGGGTGGGATTATGATGTTCATCAACTTTATAAAACCCAACTTAGAACTTATTTTGCTCAGCTTATTACAACAGTTGGAGTAAATTTCAGCAGAGAACTTACTGAACAACGAAGCTTAATCACTTTATTGCACAGAAATTCACATTCCTAAAAATTTAACAACATTATTATAAAGTCAATTTTCATTAACCACAACTAGCAAGGTTAAAAAGTAACCTTAAAACAGAGCGCGCATCGGCAGCAAGGTACAAGAATCTCTTCTCCAACATGGATATATACTCATCTCTTTCCTCCGGGTCCTCTCCAATCATATAGTAATCAATATCTTCCTTTTTTGCAATCGACTTCAATAACGGACTAAAATAACTGCAAACACACTCAAAATTGAGCCCCCAAAACCAAAAACAAAAATTTAACACATCCTCCAATCACACACTTCTGCTCAATGAAACAATAACAAAACAGTACAAAAAGGAAATATGCAAAACAAGGAAACAAAAAGTACCTTGTACCAAATAAAATTTGCTCAAGCTCATATAATTCAGCGTCTGTAGCAAGCTCAAGCACGTACCGAAGCTCTCGATCATAGGTAGTATCACTAAATTCTGTAACAGGAAAACAAACCAACAATTTTTTTCCAGCATTTTCTTCAATGCAGCATGCAATATTAAAAAAATTAATCAGAGGAAAACTACAAAGAAAAGGTCTATTCTTTTCTTATTTTTCTGAAATACCTTGCGGTTTTGTTGTAATTGAGTACTGAGGACGGCGAATGAAAAGCCTTGTTTGATAATGCTGACCCGGCCGGAACTTCAGAAATGTCTGCAGGAAACATCTTTTCATGTAACACTGAATTATAGACAAACAAACTAAAGTGCATGTTTTCGAGTGTGTGTGTGTGTGTGTGTGAAAAGTAGGCTTACTGTGGGGTGGGAGAGAGGGGAAAAGGGTGGTTTAGGGATGAGAAGGTGATGACGGGGAAGAGAGGGGTATTGAGGGAATTCAGGGAAGGGGAGGCCATGGAAGCTAGTGGCTGCGGCCACCGGAGACATATTGCTTGGGATGACGGCGGAGGAACGCCCAGTCGAATTTAACTAAAGTAGACCACTTACTTAATCCACCAGTCTTCTGCACCCAAACCACTAGTTAATTGTGTTATATATGTGGTTAAAAAATGCTAAAAGGACTTTTATTCGAAGGCGTTATTTTTGACAGAGTTGGAATCACGCTTTCCTTCCATGTTCGGTTGACAAAGGCCAAGGCCGCTGCCGTCCGTTATTTTTTTTTTTTTTGTCAATCAACGTTATTTATCCTACACCTGCTCCTACTCTAACCTATTTTAAATGGAAGGGTCCAACTGAACCTATTGAAAAATCGACAGAAACTAAACTACTATCGAATCAGACGGATGCACTACACACCCGTATGAATTTAAGTCACTTAAAATAGCAAACCACGTACAATGACAAGTAATGAAAAATAAGATTATTGTCTATTAATCATCCCAAAAAATGTGTTCGAACTCGGCTGGTCAAATGTACATGTGGCTCGAGTTCGAGCTCGACCTCAACTCATTTATCACAAACGAGTCGAGCTTGTATGAGCTCGAGCTCGAGCTTGTGCAAATTAAGCTCGAGCTCAACTCATTTATCACAAACGAGTCGAGCTTGTATGAGCTCGAGCTCGAGCTTGTGCAAATTAATCTCAATAAAATCTATAATTTTCAATTTTTATACTTTTGACTTCTAAAATGACAAATATGCCCTTTATTAACGAGATCTAACGAGCTACTCGGATATCAAACGAGCCAAGCTTACTCGGCTCGTTAACTAAACGAGCACATTTCTAGCTTGAGCTCGGCTCATTTACCGCAACTAACGAGCCGAGCTCGAGCCTTATCGAGCCGAGCTCTAACGAGCTTTCGAGCTACTTGTGAAGTTTAACACCTCTAGTTATAGGATCCTTTGTGGAAGGCTTTCAGCCCATTCAGCGTATTACTTTGGTCGAATTTATGTTTGATGGTTCACGAAGAAGTAAAATTATATGCATATCTTACTTCAGTCGTGTGCTTGATAGTTGACGGCAGAAAGGGCGTGAAAAAGGGTGGGAGGGTAAAAAAAAAAGGGCAGTTGTGTACAGGATTTCGAGACTTCGAATCCCTTTTTTTTTTTTAAGGGTATGCCACAGACTATTAAACTCATTCTTTTGCAAATTTTATATAACTCATCCAACTAATTCTTGTTTTATATAACTCATCCAACTATGTTAATGTTCCCTTCTAAAAAAATAATGGAAGTTGTTGAATTGAAGATGATGGGCATATATCCCTGCACGGTTGCATCAAATGATGAAATGGCTCGAATCTGTAGTTTCAACTTTCAACCCCTTTTTCCATGGCAAAGGCTTCTGCTCGGTCAAATGCAGGACATGTACACACAGGGTTTTCTCCATGACCAGCCTTGCAAGAGCTTCCATTTCCTCCATGCCACATGTTGTTAGTGTAGATTCACTGCCAGTTTTGCAAGTGCTATACCAATTTAGGACTCTCTACTTTTACCACTAAACCTTTTTATTTAGTTAAAATGGTCATTCAACTAATTACAATATGCATTTTCTGATCGAAAAATTATATGTTTTCATTAATTGAATGGCTAAAAGTGAGAGTTTTATTTGTTTAGACCGATGATCATATACCGATGATTTACAAGTGATACAAGAAATGCTTGCCTATGAAATCAAACTCGAAAAGGTGTCATCCCAAAACTCGAAACAAGCCAAAATAGAGCTTCTATTAACTGAATGTTCCAATTAAAGAATTTATATACATTGTGGTTCAAACGCCATTCAATAATGTATGCACTCTGTGGAATTCTAATCTTCAAAATCAAGATTTGGAGCATACCACCCTAGCCGCTGTACAATCTGCTTCATTCTTTCTTCTTGTCCTTTAGAATCTCCAAAAGCTGTAGTGAAGGGGTAAACATAAGTCACCTTTGTGGCCATAGCTCTATATGTAACAGTTGCGCCTCCTTTTACTAAAAATTCCAAGACATCGCGGCTAAATCCCCCATCAACCTCAGCCTGCAGGTATTTACCTGGATTTGTCCCATGATCAGCAAAAGTTCCAACATTTAACACCAAAAATAAGAAAAAAATCACTATATAATCAGCCTTTTCTCTTTCTAGAACACTTCCCTCCAGATGATAAAGACTCAAACCATGTCAAATTATTTTAAGGCTTCATTATATGATTCTGATATGGAACTTCGAATATGCCTCTTACCATATGGAGTGTCTTCAACGCTTTGGATCTTCACATTCTTCTGTGTCATGAGAATTGCATCCTCTAATTGCTGCCATCAGAAACAGAATAGTAAAAGAGAATCAAGTCTGAGTAAAAGGTGTCTCAAATCTTTAGTCAGAACTTCGTATCCCTTGAATGTACCACTACACCTTAATGGCATCTCGTGAAGAACTTTCAGGGATCACCCATGGTAATGCAAAAGAAGCCGAGTTGGGGTTAGTTGATACACAACCTGGATTTATGGAGGGGCAAGGCCTGATTTTTCTGGGAAAAAGATAGCAGAACTACCAATGAGCAATAAGAAAGGATAAGGATAAAAAACAATCACGTTGAAATTAGAACCATCACTAATTGAAGTGAAAGAAAGCAATAAAACACCATCGAATTGCAGAATAGTGGGTCCTGTGAGATTATTCGATGCCAATTCAGGTTCTTGAAGTAACCAACCATGTGTTTGAGATGATCCCATTTCTAATTTTCAACAACTGCTAGGAAACTACTGAACCACATTGGAATACCAATTCATATTTCTCTAGTGCAATAAATGAAGTAACAAAAACTTGAGAAAGTTGTAACAGAAATACCCGTTTTCCAGCCCAATTGGCAAGTTTTTGGCTTGAGAAAATGGAGTAGTTGTAGGGAGTAAAGGAGACTGAGAAGTCTGGGAACCATTGAGAGCAGGGATAGCCAAGGAAGGTGATGGAGACTCGGAGGATGATAGGGTTATAGCGATGGCTAGTGAGAGTACTTTGGATAACAAAAATGGCTTCTTTGCCTTGTTGGGGGAATGTAATTGTAGCAGTCTATGGTCTGCAAATGGAGGATGACAAGCAGAGACTTTGATGGGCAATTGATCAGTCGTTGGGAATTTGGGATACGAAGGAAGAAGAAGCTGACCATTGAATTTCAGTGCCATGACAGTCACTGGCCAGTCATCAGGTCATCACGGTTTCCAGGTCCACTTTACTACGAGATTGAATGGTGAAGAATGAAACTAGCGGATACCTGAGAAACAACGAGAAGCAGTGAGAAGTGGGGGATTGAGGATACGTTGGTGGTTTTTTTTTTGACCTCTCAATTTACTCTCTGGTCTCTGATGTTGTGCTTTAACTGTTATGCTTGATTGTGACCGCCACAAAACTAAGGAAGCAGTTCAGATGAATCATCTATTAGTTGAACAAAATATCAACCACTTGATAAAAGATAATTTACCGTGTGACCTCTATGCAGTCGTTGGTTGGAGAACGAAAAGACAATAATGAAAAAAAAAATGTGTGAAAAAAAAAATTATCGAAGCAGGAGTGGAACGAAGGAAGTGGATTAAAAAAGGATAAATCTTTTATACACTGAAAAGATAATTTACCGTGTGACCTCCATGCAGTTGTTGGAGAACAAAAGGACAATGAAAAAAAAAACTGCGTGAAAAAAGAAAAAAATATCAATGTAGGAGTAGAACTGGGGAAGTGAATAAATCTTTTATATACTTACAGTATAGATACTAGAAAATTTAGATACATAACACATATACAAAATTTGATGTTTAAATTCAAATTCAAATGATACGAGGTTCTTCCAACATTATCGATCAGTGCATGTAAAAAAAGATTAATCCACATACATAAATATGTAGTTTTAGCATATACACTTCAAATTCCCTTTGAAGTTTTAGCATTTCACAAAAGTTACACATTCTCGGCACAAACCAAAAGGGCAAATTAGTAGATGTAGTCGCAATTCATTAACAGCCGAAACAATAAGCATTTGCATTTCATTATTCGCACACACCACAGTTAGGGCTGCAACCATTGATTCGATTGCGGCCCTAACCACATTCACCTCATACACTCCACTTTATTTGTCATTTTGACATCTTTACCCGTTAATTCTTTCCAAGTCATTGCACAGGACCGCATGCGCGTGAGATGTAAAAGATGTTTCTGGTGCCACCAAGGACCGATTACACCGCTATTTGCCAGGATATTTTCCGAACAAAACAAAATGCAGTATAGTCTATCATTTTCTGTAATTAGTGCTGGAGCAATAGGCACAAATCAAAATACACCAGGATATTTTTCGAACAAGTAAATAAAGACAAGCAATTCCAGGACCGCCAGTATAATGCCAGAATGGAAAAAATCAATAGTTGGCACCGACAACCTGATCTGATGAAAGCCAACCGTGATCGAACTGGTATCTTCGCACAGGCAGCTATTCCAGGTTTAGAAGGTGGAAATCATTATAGCTCCGTCCTGATCATGCCTAAACCGAGCGTGGCTTTTGATCCGATAAAAAAGGGGAAGTCCAGTTTGCTGGAAATTTAGAATCATGAACTTCAATATTCTTCACTTGTTACAACACTATTCAGCCATCGAAGCTGGTAACTAGACTAACATCCACAGCCTTCATTTGCCACAAGACTTTTAACATTTTGATGTCCTTCAATGGCACTGAGAGAGTAATCACTAGTAGACAGACAGATTCATCATACATGACCTCACCGGGAGGAATGGAAAAGAATACAAAGAATGACGATGCTATAAATTGCACAACAAATGGGAGGGGAGGAGGAGGAGGACAAGTGAAGCAACCAATCATAACCCAGCTGAAACCAATCCGTGCAAGGTCACAATACCGATCAAGATATTGTCATGATTGACTACAGGCAAGAATTGTACTGCAGATGGTGGAGATTCCATCTTCTTCATCGCTTCAACTGCCATTGCATCGGGATCAATTGTTCTTGGGCGCCTGAAATGTGACAAGGGTCATGCAAATGCATTGTTCTTATCTTAAAAAACTCCACCGCATTTTCCACATCCACAGTTTAAGGCACATCAGCAG